CAGGTGAGAGCCTGGTCCGGTGAGAACCCGGCGTGCTCCGTCCCGGCTTTGTAGGGATGCGAGGTCAATGGTCTAACGACTACGGTATGCACGACTATGAGTATGAGTACACCCCCGCCCCTCCCACGTTAACCCTCCGCCATCACTGTGCTCCCCGCCTCTCCTGACGTTTCATGAACGACCATGGCCGGGAAAAAGACTGCCCAATGGGTCAAAGACCGACAGGACCGGCTTCCGACACAGGTTTGCAGCAGTGTACGGAAGCTAAACGCGCGCACCAGGGCCTCCTGCTTGACGGGCGGGGGGGTCTTGGCGTGGTCTCGCATGCGGTCTCGGCGACGCAGACAGGGAGACAGTACGCGTTCTCTTCTCAGCCGTCATGGTGGGCGACGGGGAGCTGGCTGGTTCGGTGGTCATCGAGCGGGTGAGATCAAAGAGTGCTTAGCACAGCTGGTGGCACCACTTAATAAAGAATTCAGGTTATAGCCTTAAATTTAGTCAGAATAAGCCCAGTTCCGGTAGGCGCGGGATTTCCATCTCTTTTTGGGCGTGTGGTCGAGGTAGAGAACTCCCGGGTGCCCGTTTGGGCGATTGCGTTGGGCAGTTTGGAGTCTAAAGATCTTCATATCTATGTGGTGGTACCCTGATCCGTGAGGGGCCACAGAGATCTCCCACCCCCTCTTCGGGACGGAGGCTCCGTATCACGGGATCCCCTGCCTCTAGAGTGTGCTCGGGGGCTACCACGGCTAGGCCAATCGCTTTCGTTAGTCTCCATCGGTGAAGGTTCAGGAGAAGTTCCAAAATTATTTTTCCAGGTGCATGCAACGGCGAGCGGATGACGGTACATGTAGTACCAAACGCGGACGTACGTATAGTTTGAGGGTGTGCGTGTAAAAGAGGGCGTGGAGAAAAAAACCAAGCGAGAAAAGCATGAAAGGGTCATGGTTACTCTTACACCGCCGCATGTGCTTGCGGGCCGTGCCGCCTCCATGAAGTACTTCAAACAACTCGCTTGTCTCAGGGGAAACGGTTTGCTCACGCTACACCCTTCATACATGTCCCCGCGCGTTTCGCGTTTCGCTTGTCGCTCTTTATTATTCGCAGGCAAGCGAACACCGGTGCACCGACCCAGAGGCCTTTTGCAAAGGCGTGAACGAAGCGATTCAGAGGGCTAGGCTTGGGGAGGCCCAGGCGGAGGAGATGTTGGCGCGCATCTTCAGGTTGTGCTTGAAGTACGAGGTGGGTGGGTGTTTCCATCTCCGGGATCTCGCCTTTTTTTCTTCCTTTCCCGTGTTTTCCAACACTCGATGCAGGGTACATTTCCGAACACAGGGTACAGTTGTTGAGAAAAGCAGCCACGGCAGGGCATACCCTGCGCTTTTTCTGACGCACCGAGGTGAAGGTGGGCGCTAACCAATCATACGAGTGAATTTACTGCTGTCAATGACTGTTAACCTACGTGAGTCGCTTTTCGACCAGGGTATATATACCATATTGTGTCGTTTTCCCTGAAAAAGACCTTTGAAAGACACGTGTTAAGCCGGTGAATCACGAAACATGGTAATTTGCCTAGTCGTTTTGTCTGATACTGAACAACGGTTCCTTGAGATCCGGCATTTGGTCTTCACCCACCCGCATCGCGATCGGCAATCTTGAAACAAATACAGCGTGTTTCTTTTCCTGTGTTTTTCCAACACCCAGTGCGCCTTTAAAAATGACCTTCGAAAGGCGCAAAGAATTTCAGCTGGTGAATCACGAGACGTGGTGTTGGTTGTTTCCTTGTCTTCCTGTTGTAGAGCTGATTGCTGTAGCTGCTGTTGGTTTCGTCGAGATCCGCCATTCGGTCTTCGCAAACCCGCTGGCGATCTTCGCGAAAACAAAACCTTGTGAGACGCGGCGGAATATGCAGATCAATAACACAGGTGAGACTGGAGCCCAGGGTGGCACTCGAGGTGATCGCCGTGGCCGCTCTGGAAGGGCTCCGGCGAACCCTTGCCCCCGACTGCAACCTGCCGACGGCTTCGTTACCGTCGGTTTTGACGGCCGTTCCAATGAAGACGGCGGGCGCGGGGTAAAAGCGAGAGTCCTTCGCGCTGCCGGCGGCGTCGGGTGCAGCGGCGTGCAATGGTCAGAGCATCTACTAGAGATGCTCCTTGTGTTACTGCTGTGCACATGCCTCCCTGGAACGACAGCAGTTCAGGGAATGGATCCTTTTTTTTCTTCTCGGGAATAGGACTGTATACTTTACACAACAGGACTATACAGAATAGGACTGTATACAGAATAGGACTGTATACAGATTTGCACATATTTCTCCTTGGTTCGTTGGGGTCCGCTGGGCACTTCTGTAGTCGCCAACACGTCAGCCGTATGAGCTGGTCCTGCTGCCAGGCTGCCTTGTCATCTTGCGTCACCCGTTGATGACATCTGTGCTCTCATGAGCCCACTCCAGAGGGGATCCCTGGTATCTTTATCATGTTTTTGCCCGCTGCCACAATATCAAAACTTCCTAAATAGTTTCCACAGTCACGGAGTAGAGAGGAAATCCTTCAACGCAGAGCGTACAGTGTTCGTGTGTGCATGAGCGGATGAGAATATTCCAACGGGACTGTAGGAGTGGCTACGCAGATAGGAATTGATAGTCCCTTAGGTTGGTTTCATGTTTAATCCACGGGGCTCGGACCTGCGGGAGTGCTTGCTGTGTCGCGGCACTCTCTCTCTTCCGCCGCGTCCTGATCGTGCCTGCTGTCCTAAATACAAGTGATACCGTCACCTTCAACACACATACATGGGTATACTAACACTCTTGAGTGAGTGTATCCCTCGAGGGAACCCGTGCTGGACATGAGTGGCGCCAATGTTGCAGCAGAGGTTGCCGACGTCACTACTAGTACGCAGGTCAGAGTTGACAACCTGGAGAGCAAAGTTTCAGGCCTGACGGACGAGAGGTACAGCAGCTGGCAGGGCCTCTCCGAGCCGCTCTCGGAAAGTTAAAGAACGAGGGGGGAAAAACTAAGGCCCCATGGCGCGCCGGACGGGGCGCGAAGGGGGAAACAAAAATCAAAGGGCCCATGGCGAGTCGGACGGGGCGTGAGGGGGGGAGAAAATCGAAGCAGCCCCGTGGCGCGCCGGAAGGGGCGTGAGGGGGAACCCCGCGGCACGTCGGAAGGGGCGTGGGGGGAGGGTACTTGCATCGTGGTGCTAAAACCGGAACTCCTCTTCTGGCGAGGCTGCAGGCCGAGACGAGCGCTAAGAGGGGAGCAACACGCATCACAGTGCTGGATTGGCACTTCTTCCTTGAAGGTATTTGGTGTTTGATGGTATTCGTAGCGAAGTTGGTAAATCCTCGTTAGTTGTCACGAGTGCACTTTGGTTGAAGAGCCAGGTAGGGTGTTCCGTGTTTGTTTCTCGTAGGCGTTCGCGTCCACATGTTCCTGGTAGTCATTCGGTTGAGACCCTCGTTGATTGCGGCTACGTGGTGCCGCTCTCTAGGTTGTGGAATGTGCAGGAAGATGGGATACTGTTGGGACCGTTGAAGGAACGTATGAGGAAAAATTAGGACACCAGTGTTGTACGTCCACGAGAATAAGAGGATTGTCGAAAAATGCATGCCGGTTATGTGTCGCTCAGAAAATGTTGTATGATTGCCTTATGCCCCGGTGCGCTGTGTTACGTCAGCGAGGGGGGGGCGATTTCGATGTTTGCCTTATGTTTGTTGGAGAACAGACGTAGTACAGCCGCATGGTATTAATAGTTGTTTGAACCAACTCCTCAGGATAGTCTTACGCTATTATTGCTTATCAAGAGGTGGGATAAGGCGTTGTTGGAAACAGGGTTATGATCTCGGTTCTTCATGCAGGAAGAATATGATAGCACGCCGCCGACGTTTGTAGATAGAGGTTCCGAGCGTGGAGTCTGGCGCGACTGGCATTATGCATGTACTGATCTTGCTCTAGTAGCGCAACAACGACAGTGTCTGATGGAGCGGTGAATATTGGTGGGGGTTTTGACCCGGAGGCCGGGTTTCCCCCTGTTTTTTTTGCGTTGGTTTATGTCCGTTTGTTTTTTTGGTCACATCCGGCGTGTGCATGCGCACTAGTGGTTAGTTACTAGCATAGAGAACCAGGGAGGGTGTTCGTGTGTGCATGAGCGGATGAGAATATTCCAACGGGACTGTAGGAAGTGGCTACGCAGATAGGAATTGATAGTACCCTGGGTTGGTTCCATGGTTGATCCACGGGGCTCGGACCTGCGGGAGTGCTTGCTGTGTCGCGGCACTCTCTCTCTTCCTCCGCGTCCTGATCGTGTCTGCTGTCCTAAATACAAGTGATACCGTCACCTTCAACACACATGGGTATACTAACATACATAGGGTCTATGAAACCGCCACGCGAAAAATTGTCCCTATATGCATACTGTGGCTGCTGGTCTTAGTCATTTCAAGTCTATCTTAACCTTGTCTCGAGCTTGTCGTTAAGAAAATGATCGGGATAAGCCACCCTTGTTGAAGCACAGGGGACGCCGCTTTTTGTGAGCAAAGCCGTGGCTGGAGAGCACGGTCGATGTCGCTCGTTCGCTGAAATTCCAAGCGAGACCAATGGAGCAGGCAGGGTGTACTAGTGTACACGCATGCCGTAGTCGTGAAGACCATTGACCTCGCACCCCTACAATGCCGGGGTGGAGCGATATGCCGGGTTTTCGCCAGCCCAGGCTACAGTACGGTTCATAAGGATGAACCAGAATCTGGTAAACTTCCTTGAGTTTGGACGGAAGAAAGGGGGTGGAGGGGGGGGGGTGTACTCATAGTCGTGGATGCCATAGTCGTTAGACCATTGACCTCGCATCCCTACTAAGCCGGGACGGAGCACGCCGGGTTCTCACCGGACCAGGCTCTCACATCACCAAGCGCGAAGCGCCGTNGTCTATTTCTGGTGCTTCACTACCAGACAGTTATAAGCACTGTGTAACTGCCTCGAGGGTGCTTGACCATTCAAACACAAC